CTGGTACAGCTGGTGTGTTGGGCAAAGGGCACCTGGGCCGGTGCACTGGTACAGCTGGTGTGCTGGGCAAGGGCACCTGGGCCGGTGCACTGGTACAGCTGGTGTGTTGGGCAAGGGCACCTGGGACGGTGCACTGGTACAGCTGGTGTGTTTGGGCAGGGACACCTGGGCCGGTTGCACTGGTACAGCTGGTGTGTTGGGGCAAGGGCACCTGGGCCGGTGCACTGGTACAGCTGGTGTGTTGGGCAAGGACACCTGGGCCGGTGCACTGGTACAGCTGGTGTGTTGGGCAAGGGCACCTGGGCCGGTGCACTGGTACAGCTGGTGTGTTGGGCAAAGGGCACCTGGGCCGGTGCACTGGTACAGCTGGTGTGTTGGGCAAGGGCACCTGGGCCGGTGCCACTGGTACAGCTGGTGTGTTGGGCAAGGACACCTGGGCCGGTGCACTGGTACAGCTGGTGTGCTGGGCAAGGGCACCTGGGCCGGTGGCACTGGTACAGCTGGTGTGCTGGGGCAAGGGCACCTGGGCCGGTGCACTGGTACAGCTGGTGTGCTGGGCAAGGGCACCTGGGCCGGTGCACTGGATACAGCTGGTTGTGTTGGGCAAGGGCACCTGGGCCGGTGCACTGGTACAGCTGGTGTGTTGGGCAAGGACACCTGGGCCGGTGGCACTGGTACAGCTTGTGTGTTGGGCAATGACACCTGAGGCCGGTGCACTGGTACAGCTGGTTGTGTTGGGCAAGGGCACCTGGGCCGGTGCACTGGTACAGCCTTGGTGTGTTGGGCAGGGACACCTGGGCCGGTGCACTGGTACAGCTTGGTGTGTTGGGCAAGGGCAACCTGGGCACGGTGCACTGTACAGCTGGTGTGTTGGGCAGGGACACCTGGGCCGGTGCACTGGACAGCTGGTGTGTTGGGGCAAGGGCACCTGGGCCGGTGCACTGGTAGCAGCGGTGTGTTGGGCAAGGGGCACCTGGGCCGGTGCACTGGTTACAGCTGGTGTGTTGGGCAAGGGCACCTGGGCCGGTGCACTGGTACAGCTGGTGTGTTGGGCAAGGACACCTGGGCCGGTGCACTGGTACAGCTGGTGTGTTGGGCAAGGACACCTGGGCCGGTGCACTGGTACAGCTGGTGTGTTGCACTGCATTATCAATATGACGTCCACGCGGAGGCGGACACGCTAGTGCTCCGAGACATCATGGCTGCCTAACTTTATACAAATAGTCACTCGAAGGATGGAGCCCTGCGGTCCAACACAACATTCGACCTTTAAAGGAAATGTTCCACGTTATATGGGGTTTGAGCTGAAATAGCCTTCTTGAAGACCTTTCGGCGCTGTCCACAATCCCAACCTTTCTCAAGACCTACGCCCTTCTAGTTTCTGAGATATACGGCCGCGAAAATATGGTCAGATTTATCGGGGAGAGTTTTTCAAAATTACCTTGGCATTCATGACGCCATAATAACGTCATTCAATCTCCCATTCCACATGCCATGCGGCGATCAAGGCCAAGATAAATGTAATTATCGAGGCGTTCATGGGCGCAAAATGGCCCTAGAAGTCGACGCGCCCTAAAACCCCAATCATCATCATCGAGGCGTTCATATCTGGCGTTTGTGAGCGCAATTTCCATGTATGATGGCCGTCAACTGGCTTTCGACCAATGTTGTGCAAGATACGATGATGTAATCAACCCACGACGCATTGAGAAGCGTGTTTACTAAGCAGAGAATCGTGCTGTCTAGAGCAGCCTTTTCCACCTAAAACACATACCAATAGTGATAAGTGGGCTTGTTTTATCATACATGATGTTTGCTTCAATACCTTCAAATATGAAACATTTCCCACAGCAAGCGCTCGGGTCGGGGTGGGGGGTGGGGGGGGGGGGGGGGAATATGACCCCGTCAAGATTTACACAGAACAATTTCCGAACGGTGCGGCAAAGCCTTGCCAAACTTAATGTAACTGTAGACAATGGAAATTGCGGATATTTTAGTATACAACATTAGATATACCATGAAAGATCGTTGCCACGGCCCTATCTCCATCTGAACTCAGGCTATCAAACCTATAAATCTAGAACCCAAGCGCCCACTGATGGTTGGGCTGGCGACGACAGTAAGGATGGACAAGGACATTGGAACGTATCATACGACGCTGGCCGTTATGTAATCAATGTGACCGGACATACGGGAATTGTATTAGATACATGTATATCTACATAACACACACACACACGATATATATATATATATATATATATATATATATATATATATATACTGGCAGATTCCTTCCTTTTTTGCATGTTCGATTTAAAATGACCGTTGACTCAGCATCGAGAAGCTTTTTTACGCATCGTTCGAGTTTCAGGGTTTCTGGCTTAGCATTGAAGTTTAGATTAGAGGTGGTTCGTGCAAAACCATTCAATATTCGTCCATCTTTGCATTCTTACGCTTCGACATCTTGTATCATCGTCGGAGAAGTCTGAATGGCACAAGAGGTAAGTTTGAGTTTTAAGGGACCAAAATTGTGCATTACTATTGAAAAACAACTTTTGGTACAGAGAAGACAAAGGAAATATGGCTAACTGAAGTAAGACAAAATCCTTTCATTACTTTCACACTTATAAAATACACTCATAATGGAAGCACTACAAAGACACAAACACATTATCACAATGACATCAATAACACTCACCGCTCACCACCTAATAACTCAAGTGTTGTCCAAAAATGTTTTGGTCTGTTATGGGCTGGATACAGTTTGTTAACAAGAATACTTTCCCACATTTAAAGGCGTTTCCTGTCGTTGCACGCCTGCATAATGCAAGTGTTGCCTGTCAGTTGTTGCGTTAACGTCCTGTCATTTCCATCGCGTCCATGATTTTCATCGCAATAGGAAAATATCTAACTTCCTTATGGGAAACAGCCCAGACGAACCCAGGAAACCAAAAATGCACCAATGTAGTGCATCGATCCCAACGCAATATCGAAGGCCGCGAACTTGGTTCCATACACTACATTGGCGTGACCACGACACTCCCGACGCCTGACAGTGCCCTTGCGCGACGGGGCACCTCTGGACCACACGCGACACGAACATGTCAGGACATTGACACAACAACTGACAGACACCAGTGACATTCTTCAGGCATGCAACGACAGAAGATGGCTTGAAATTTGGGAAACCCATCAACGAACCCTCTCCAGCCCTTAGCAGACAAACACACTCTTGCACAAGCCTTGAGTTGATAGGTGATGGGCGGCGCGTTCTACTGATGCTTTACTTCCATTGGCCATGCTTTTCAGTTGGCCAACTTTCATTCTTTGAAACTAAAAACTTATTTTGTGTACCATTCAGCCTTCTCCGACGATGAGACAAAATCTCGAAACGTAAAAATACAAAGATTGGCGAATATAATGAATATGAATGATTTCGCACGAACCATCTCAAATATAATCGATAATGCTAAGGCAAACGACCGGAAACTTGAGTGATGTTTAAAAAGCTCGTCAACGCTGAGTCGGGGTTCATTTTTATCGAACACACACGGACCACGGACCACGGACACGGACACGGACACGACACGGACACGGACACGGACACGGACACGGACACGGACACGGACACACACACACACACACACACACACACACACACACATATATATATATATATATATATATATATATATATATATATATATATATATATATATACATATATATATATATATACCCATATACCTTCATATATTATATACATTATTTTCGCTTTCCTTTGCATTATTTTCGCTTTTTCTTTCCTTTCGCTTCCTTTCAACACCTTTGGCTTCTTATGTGACATGTCACTGGCCTGGGGCAAAGGACAGTCAAGCGAGCTGCTACACTCATACGTCGGAGGGTGACCACTTTACTGACCTCCTCTAGAGCGTCGAGCACCGCCAAAGAACGTAACCTACCTCCGGAAATGGTGCCGTGGTGAACTATCGTGTGATCCTTACAGCATCTGATTTCACTATGCTCGAAACGTAAACCCAATTGTGTTGAAAAAACTTGATGTACGATATGAGCAAATAAGTACAGCAAGCTTGCACAGGCGATGTAAAATCCGGCTTGTGGTCGGATTCGAGGACCCACTTGACATCGATACTTAACCGGCCGGTGGCAATACAACTGCATCGCATTATTCAAACCGCTTAGAAGGCTGTGCGGATCCAATGGCGATGTTAGCATCGTTTTTCAACAACGTTTCAATCGCTAACGCCCATTCATTACCAACATGACCAGCTCAGCCACTTGCGCTTCGCAGGTGTTTCAACTTTCGAATACAGGCCATCAAAAGTCTTATAATAGTTTAGCGTATTGGAAACCACCGTCGCTCACACGTTTTTCAACGGAGTGATTTTTTAGCTGTTCCGGTGTATATGGACAATATGTGATGTGACCACCACAGATGCCAACGATCTCTTAGCAGGCTGTGAACCGACGCACATCGAGCAGCCTTGAAAACGGCCATCAACGAGCCCAAGTGCGCCTTATTAACGCATCACTTCAGCACAAGTGTGAACATCATGCCATTTAAGTTTCCGCAGCAAATTAGGACCATTAATGTTACCAAAGCCCACATGTAATAGGCCAAACGCAGTTCTCGTCATGTTCAGGCACGATAAAGTTGGTCTGATGATAACGTGCCCCGAGCAGCTATATGGTAACACGAGGGCACCCCGTGAACTGCGGAGAAGTCCGAGGTCCGAGGTCAATACCCACCGACGCGCTCACAGAAACACCTGAACCTACCAAGAGCGGCGGAAAGTGTAACATCCAAATACGGGATAAGAAACTTACAGAAGTAGATCTCAAGCGTCGGCTTTGACCGGACAGCAGCGAACCTGTCGTCAGAGTGAGAGCACCGTCTTACTTCAGCAGTGCAGCGCCGCCGCCACGCCGCGCTCGGCGGCGGCGCAGCTGCACGGTCGCCCGCTCCAGGCGCTCACCTGCGCCGTGTAGCTCCAGCGGTGTTCGTCGAGCCCGTGGACCTTGCAGGGTGCCATGGGCGCGTGGCGCGGCTGGTCGGGTGCCGGCTCGGAGACGGTGGCGCACAGGTCCTCGCGGCGGACCTCGTCTCGCCGGCTGTGCGCCAGGTACTGTGGCACGACACAGCCGAGGCCCGGTGAGGGCGGCGCACAGGTCCTCGCGGCGAACCTCGCCCCCCCCCCTCCCCAGCTGTGCGCCAGGTACTGCAGCAGGGCACGGCCGAGGCCCGATGAGGGCGGCGCACAGGTCCTCGCGGCGAACCTCGCCCCCCCCCCTCCCCAGCTGTGCGCCAGGTACTGCAGCAGGGCACGGCCGAGGCCCGATGAGGGCGGCGCACAGGTCCTCGCGGCGAACCTCGCCCCCCCCCCCCCCTCCCCAGCTGTGCGCCAGGTACTGCAGCAGGGCACGGCCGAGGCCCGGTGAGGGCGGCGCACAGGTCCTCGCGGCGAACCTCGCCCCCCCCCCTCCCCAGCTGTGCGCCAGGTACTGCAGCAGGGCACGGCCGAGGCCCGGTGAGGGCGGCGCACAGGTCCTCGCGGCGAACCTCGCCCCCCCCCCCTCCCCAGCTGTGCGCCAGGTACTGCAGCACGGCACGGCCGAGGCCCGGTGAGGGCGGCGCACAGGTCCTCGCGGCGAACCTCGCCCCCCCCCCCCTCCCCAGCTGTGCGCCAGGTACTGCAGCACGGCACGGGCCGAGGGCCCGGTGAGGGCGGCGCACAGGTCCTCGCGGCGAACCTCGCCCCCCCCCCCTCCCCAGCTGTGCGCCAGGTACTGCAGCACGGCACGGCCGAGGCCCGGTGAGGGCGGCGCACAGGTCCTCGCGGCGAACCTCGCCCCCCCCCCCCCTCCCCAGCTGTGCGCCAGGTACTGCAGCACGGCACGGCCGAGGCCCGGTGAGGGCGGCGCACAGGTCCTCGCGGCGAACCTCGCCCCCCCCCCCCTCCCCAGCTGTGCGCCAGGTACTGCAGCACGGCACGGCCGAGGCCCGGTGAGGGCGGCGCACAGGTCCTCGCGGCGAACCTCGCCCCCCCCCCCCCCTCCCCAGCTGTGCGCCAGGTACTGCAGCACGGCACGGCCGAGGCCCGATGAGGGCGGCGCACAGGTCCTCGCGGCGAACCTCGCCCCCCCCCCCTCCCCAGCTGTGCGCCAGGTACTGCGGCGCGGCACCGCCGAGGCCCGATGAGGGCGGCGCAATGGCGCACGGGTCTAACTTTCTCGACACATGACATCAAACCGAAAATACATGGCACAGCAGAGACAGATAACAATGGCTAGTACGGAACATTTTCATAGCTGCCCCCAGGCGCCGGAGCCGCACCTGGCCGGAGACTGGCGGCTCGGTGCAGGTGTTGAGCCCCAGGTACACCAGGTCCTCAATGACCAGGGTGTCGACGCAGAGCTCAGCACGGTCGCGCGAGCGTAGCTGGCCGCTGGCGAGCACGTCCTCGTCCAGGCGCATCTTGTTGGGGTAGACGGTGTCCAGGTACCAACGGAACGAGCGGCAGCCGAGCCGACGCCGCAGCTCGAGACGTGACGTGACGTCACCGGCCTCCGGGGGCTGCCAAAAAGTCAACAGAGGTCACGGCAGGTCAGCAAACCGCGGCGCGGGGAGAACACGGCCTCCGGAGGCTACCACCGGTCAACAGAGGTCACGGCAGGTCAGCGAGCCGCGGCGCAGGGAGAACACGGTTTCCGGGGGCTGTCACCGGTCAACAGAGCTCACGGCAGGTCAGCGAACCGCGGCGCAGGGAGAACACGGCCTCCGGAGGCTGTCACCGGTCAACAGAGGTCACGGCAGGTCAGCGAACCACGGCGCAGGAGAAAACGGCCCGCGGCGAACATGTCAGCGCGGAGCAATGCCAGCGCACACAACGAAGACTTCAACATTACAGGCATGCCAAGCCAAATCATCGTGCGTCAAAACCCATACAGGTCGACGCAGACCAGCACTTTCGGGCAGGCACAGTTTCCACCGCATGCAGTCTCACTGGGTCACCGAGCCAATCACCCTCACATCATTACCGCAGCCGCAAACCATCCCACTGGCAACGAGCCCGGTGCCTCACGTGCGTGTGCCGGTAGTGGAGGTGGAAGTAGCGGCTGTACTCGTCCATCCAAACGGCGGCGATCCGCGCCATGTTGGCCGCCAGCGGGTTGGCGCTCCAGGGGAACGTGTACGGATGGAAGTCACGGAAGATGTGGCCGACGCGCGAGCACGGCAGCGTCTCCACCACACCGCCGCACTGCCACGTCTGTCGGCGACCAGCGGAGCGCGGACTGTCAAAACACCACATTCCGCCCTACGCCAGTCCGCACATGTTCGCCGCGTCCAATCGGTGGGCACAGCACAGGTGCCAACATGGCGCCGTACAATACTACTCCACCCTGGCATACCCACGAGGGGGTGGGGGACATATCGGCACAATTTCCCAAAATTATTTTTGTTCCCTCCAACGGTCCCCATAGACTGCACGTTGTTACATTCCAAACGTCACTTACAGGTAAGGCTGTTTCACCAGATCCCACTTTGACCGCCTAATCCTCATTTGTTTCTCATCATTCAGCTGCTTGGCTTAGAGCCCTTTCGGCCAGAAACAATCACTTCAGGGCTATAGGATTAAGGAGACTGGATAACGGTGGGGCAGGGCTGCATAGCTTTGGGGGGGGGGGGGGAAGGGGGGGAGGGGCAACTGCCGAGCTTTAGTACACACAGGGACACTTCAGAGCGTGCGCTGGGCGCGCGGCAGGGGGCCCCTTGGCCCACGCTTGGCTGACGAGTGCAGCCTGCCCGTATTGGCGGATGAACGGGGCGTCGCGATGATTTAGGATAAAGCAAGGAGAGACGATAAGCGGGTCGGATGTCCTAATCATTCAAAAATCGAAGTGTGTTTGCCATCGTAGCATCTACGCCACGCTAAGTTCAGTTACTGGCTGCCAAATGTTTATAGCAAACTAAGAATTTGATTGCATGGTGCATTTAATACATTTTTAACTTAAAACTTCAGTCTATGCACTGTGCTTCGTTCTGCCCGGCAATAAATATAAGGCAATGCTAATTAGATGAACAACACGTTGATGTGTGGAGGGGAACAATAATAACTTTAATAATAACTTGTCCATAACACATTGTATTGATCCAGAAAAAAACGCACATATATTACAGCCGTGGGCTTCCATCAGTACGCCCACATAAAGTAAACATTCGGTCGAAATCACAAACGTCGTGCAGCATATTCTTTTTAACGTATTACACACTGTTCTTAGGGCATTTACATCGAGCAACTTAATCGGAGACGAATTACATTACCAGACTGTGTCATATGGGAGAGCCTTCAAAGGGCTCAGGGAGGAAGTCGTGGTGTTCAGTATCGGTTTCCCATTTCTCATGTGATTCTGCGATTTTCAATTCAGCAATAGTTTCACGTATCTGCGGCACGTATATTCTGAGCGAGTTTGTGCGGACGACTTCCGTATAGTGTGCGTTGGCGAAATGGTCGCGAAATGGAATGTTTTTGGTTTCTTTTAGGCTTTTGGCTCCCATGACCACCTGCCCGGCATCCGTCACCCTGATCACATGCAGGGAGAGATGCAACAGCTCCAATATAGCCAAGTTGACTGCAGGGCATGCGTGGCAGCGCCGACTATCTTCGTCCTCATTTGCTCACCGAGTGGATCAATGAAAACAGCCACGTTGAGTACTGACTAGCAGCTTTTACTCGTTTTGCGCAACATCAATAACGCAACGTTGCATTTCTCACATTTCATCAGACGTTCAACACTGGTGCGTCACCGAGATATCACAAATGAGGAGCCAGATGCTGCATGGGAAGGAAGTCGCCAAACTGACCACACCCGGTTCTCCGGCTTGCAAGAATTATAAACACGTCACGGCGTCCCTTGACAGTGCACGTCACAAACCAGTCACATGTCTGGCATACTTATGACATGCATCTGGCTTTCCGATGGTAAACCACATTGCCTTCACCGTCCATTAAAGCCCCAGCTCAACATAGCGTACGTGATCTCCCACCCAACGCTTCAGGTTATATAAGCCACCACTAGGTGGCACTACTGCATTAACAGAACTATTAGTACACTAAGAAACCAATAGGTGGCTACAACACAGTACGGTCCATGTTGTTTTTTTATCTGCATGGTAAAAACAAATGCGCAAAGCAGGTCACTTTTTCCCTGCGGCATATTATGGCGCATGGTGTGTACTGAAATGCATATCCAAACGGCGACGACACCTTGTTTCGTGCGCAAGCAATAGACATTCAGATCATGAAACTAGGAATTCCGTCGACAATAAACATTGACTACATAACCAAAGACGCCCAGAATCACTTATCATCTAGTAGAGGTTACTTTTGACCTACGACAGGGCGATGAAGAATGGAGGTAATGATCACATGATTAACCTCACGGCGACCTCTTGATGAACAGGAGATATGCCACTTCTGAGCCCCTAGATGATCCCATACGCAATCTAAGTCGAAAACAAATGTGTCCAACGGGACAGTAGGTGGGGCACGTTTGACGTGGGGGAGTTGGGCGTTGTCACGAATCTACTAGTGGAATCTGTGCATCTCAGAAAAGGCCAATGACGTCACTGGTCCCTTCCGATTCAGCCGCCGTTGCGCTGTCCGGTCAGTTGCCGCATCGCAGCAGGGATAGGGTGAATCCAACGCTCCTTTGTGATCTCAAACACTACAAGAGAGCTAGAAACACATGTCCCAGGGTGGGGTAACCTGCATGTGAATTTAAATGGATCGAAATTAAGGTTCTTAGGTCGTGCCCTTCGGGTCAAACTCCAGATATCGGTGTCCAAAATGCCCCCAAACCTCCTCGTGCAACCACCGTGAACAAAGAAATATTCTAAGCAAAAGGTCACTGATGTTCATTTAACGTTGGTGACCAAGCAAGTACACCAGTGTTGTAATTTTGGCATTTAAATGAGCTTCAAAGGATTGCGCCGAACAATGTGCCCGCCGAAAAAAAATGTTGACCGGGGCCAATTTATATCAGTGACCTTTTCTGACTTTAAATAAGTACATGTAAGACGTTCGATGCGGTCCCTGTCACATTCAGTTCAAAATAAGCACCAGGGACTACCCTACCCAGCACACTATCGCGTAACAAAAAACCGGTTCTGACCTCGGTCTGGCCTTCATACCTGGCCACAGGTCAGTGATTTTTTTGTAATCCTGCATGCAATTGTTGTCTCAATCTCAAAAATGCGTGGCTTCCTCCGACACTCGTTGTCGTATCAGATTGCACGATTCCCCACAAATTGTCTTCGCTGGCAGAAGTGGGCTGAGTTTGACCTGCCACAAGCCAAGGACCTTGCCAGGTACATCCACTTCTTTGATACGCAAGAATCACTCTCAAAGTGCCAACAGTTATGTAACGATTGGTGCCGCCATGCCGCGCGGCTCGGCAATCATCCTGGAAAACCTGGTGATCAACCTGGAAAATCAACCTGGTGAACTGCCCCCCCCCCCCCCCCCAACCGACCGCGTGTCAAGGGACGGGGCCGGTGTGGACCTTATGGCCAAACATTTAAGCCCCTGCTTAAAAGACTGATGGAGATGAATACTGATAAACTAATGTTTCTGATGTGGCTGCCTACAGAGCCCATGAAAAACCACTCAACGAATTTTTAATAAATAGATACCCCTAATTATCAGACGTCTGGGTAGTGGTAACTAGTAACAAACGGGACAAATTGTAACAGCGACTGTGCTGCTTTTAATGACTAAAATCTGCCTCATCAACAAAAATGCCTGCCTTACAAGGAAACGCTTAAAATAGTCAGCGAGCATCATATGCCAAATGCTGGTCAACGTGGTGTGACCCCAATTGTCGTCCGTAGCACGAAAAATGGGATTGTCTTTAGCTCCACAGACCCCAAAATCACTGTGAAAAAATCGGGTTTTATTTTCTTCAAGACTGGGAGACAGTACAAGTAGTTTTACGAGTCGCAATAGGTTACTGAGCGGGTTCATCTGTCCTCCCCCGGCCTACAACCGGGAAGCCCATTAGGAAGCCTTGTCCCGGAGCCCCACGCGCGTGCGTGCATGCGTGTGTGTGTGTGTGTGGTGTGTGTGTGTGGTGTGTGTGTGTGTGTGGTGTGTGTGGTGTGTGTGTGTGTGTGTGTGTGTGTGTGTGATGGTGTGTGTGTGTGTGTGTGTGTTTGTGGTGTGTGTGTGTGTGTGTGTGTGTGTGTGTGTGTGTGTGTGTGTGTGTGTGTGTGTGTGTGTGTGTTGTGTGTGGTGTGTGTGTGTGTGTGTGTGTGTGTGTGTGTGTGTGTGTGTGTGTGTGTGTGTGCCTGTGTGTGTGTGCCTGTGTGTGTGTGTGCCTGTGTGTGTGTGTGCCTGTGTGTGTGTGTGCCTGTGTGTGTGTGTGTGTGTGCGTGTATGCGTGCGCGTGCCGTGCGTGTATGTGTGCCCTGGTTTTTGTCTGAGGAATAATGATAATACTACTGTCTTATTTATGTGAAGTATGTTCCTCGCTAATGCGCTGAACAACTCACGTTATCTATCTTTTCATTTGGAGGGGGCACTTATTATTAGCCACATGAGGGGTTTCAGGCTCTCAGCATCGGTTTTCAATTTGAGGTCATCAAATTCTTGAATTCGGATTCTCGGCATCTTGAGATGATAAGCAAACACTCGTCAGTCTTCGGCAACGCTGGAAATAAGTCACGACCAGCGGTTGCAACAATAATGGCACAGTTGCAGCCGCCGGCGTGAGCGCGCCCGACACCCTGCCGCCGCGCCGTACTGACCCTGAACGAGAGCTCGAGGTTCTCGCCGCCGTAAACGTCCATGCCGGTGTCGTAGCCGCCCAGCTGCCAGAAGTACTGGCGGCTCATGGCGTACAGGCCTCCGGACATCACTGGCGACCTGCGGGGCACGGCGCGCCGCGTCAGGGGCGTGGCGGGCGCCGGCACGACTAGCCACGCCCGCACGCCATGTGATGGTGTCACGCTCGCCGCGCCGGCACCAGCCGGCCGCGCGGCACGGACACGAGAGCAGGCCGCGCTCGCACAGCGTGCGCCGGAGATCTGCGCAGCTAAACAACTAGGTTCCGTACAAGACACTCGAAAAAACGCAGTGATACTATGACAAACACCGCAGCAGCAGCAGGGTTTTTTTCAGGCGGTTTTCACTCAAACGTTAAGGGTCTGGTGGGAATCAAGGATGTTTGCGGTTGCAAGACAATGCAATGCAAGCCATCACGCAGTTCCAGACGAATATCCCGTCGATATAAATCGTTTTGTGCCATGCAAAAGAAAAAAAGACCCTAATGCGACATGAACAGCCACCATTGCTGAATGAACATCGAGCCCCTATCCAACGTTCATACCATTAGGGACTGGCGAGCCCTGATACGCTAGCACAAGGAGTAAACTTCCACAGAAAGCTGGGAGGTGGAGGGCGAGTTAGGAGGAAGGCCAAACCTTTCCCCCAAATATGCCAACCTCCCCGGCCCATTTTCCTCTCAGATAGGGCTGGAGCCCCCTCCCCCTCCCCACCCCACCCAACTGCCAAAGGAAAACCACCCACAGTGTAGTAAAGTAAAGTGTGTAGCAACACTCAAGTGTAGTAAAGGAGCAACTGCTCTCAGTTCGCTTCGAATATCCACACGCGCGGACATTCGGCGTGTTCAGACGACAGCACCTCCCCTAGCCCGTCACGCGACACGTCACTTTTGTGGCCCCCACTCGCCCGACATGCAGCCGGTGACCTTTGGTACCGGGCTCCCACCTGCGAGCGGCCCCACTCTTTCACCGGGCCAGCCGCTCGCGGCCAGCACTGAGCGTCACGAGCGCCAGCCGGGACGGGGGCAGTGGGGCCGGTCACCCGATCTCCTCGGCAACGCTGCCCCAGCCTGTTTTGACTGCGAACTTCGTGATAGGTGTGCTCAGGGTGAGCCACGGCTGAATAATGCAAGGATGATGAAGATGGTCCGTGAATGGACTGTGCCCTCAATGTATTTTGCATTGGCACACAGCAATTAAGACAACCATTCCATCGAAGTTGGCAACCTCACCCACTCATCTAGCCGTCACCCCAAACCAAGTGCCCTAACAATCAGAAGTCGACCGAGGCCAACTCCCCATATTTCGACACGGGATTCGTTTCCTAAGTTTACCGGTGCTTACTTCAGCGACGGTTCAACTCGGACGCCGGGACACGACACGACTGGTAAAATAAGATCCACCTGGGTGTACAACGCGCGTTTCACCAGTCCAACATCACAACTGCGATACTATAACACCCGGCCGGATTACCAGATTCACAAACTAAGCGAGACGAGACTCGCCGGCCAACTTCACTCCCACCCAAATGTCACGCTTTAGCGGGATACCCAGACATCGCATATTGCTACCGCAGTACGCGAATGTTCAAGCTGCAGCAGTTTCGTGCGCCGCCTTGACGTTATCCCCGGCGGCCATCGAGACGCAACGCGCCGCCGTCAGCGCGGAGACCACCGCCGTATCTCCCTCCTCCACGCGCGCGACGCCCCCTAGCGCTGCGGGTCCGCCATGGGCGCCTCCTCCGGCTCCTGCACCACAGTCACCATCAGCAACATGAAGCTGAAGCCCGCCAGGATAGCGGCCAACTTGGCTAGTCCGCTGCCCGGTTTGGCGCGTTCGCCACCAATGATTTCGAAGATGACCACGTAGAGGATGGTGCCGGCGGCCAGCGCCTGCAGCACAGCCGTCAGCGCCATGTGGCCGCCGCTGGAAGAGGTCACCAGCGTGCCCAGCACGATCCCCGTGGGCGAGGCCAGCACGAAAGCCGCCAGTGTGGCCAGCGCCCGCTGCGTGCTCGACACGGACGCGGCCAGCTGCTCGCCCAGGCAGAAGGCGATGATGGACTTGTGGGTGGCGATGGCGGCGGTGAGCAGCCAGGTGCTGGCCTCCGTGGCCTCGAGCCCGATGGCCATGCCCTCGAACACAGAGTGCACCGACAGCGCCACGGCCACGATCAGCACGCGGAAGCTGCCGAGGTTGGGCGGCGACTCGGGCGGCGGCGGGCAGCGTCGGCGACGGCGGCGCGACCCCGTCACAGCGCCGTACTCGCGCTCGGCTTCCTCCAGCAGGGCGCTGCCCTGGCGCGCGTCGTACAGCACCCGGTCACCCCGCTCCTCGTCTTCAGCCGTCTCCTCCTCCTCCTCCTCAGCACCATCCATCGTGCTATACTCAGCCGACGGATCACGGCGCGCGCACAGCATACCCAGCTCCTCCAGCAGGTAGATACTGAACAGGCCGCAACATACAAGCACCTCGGCCAGCGGGAACTCCAGCTTGCCCAGCGCCTTCTCCACGGCCTCCCGCACCTCGGGCAGCATGTGCGCGAACACGGTGGCCAGCAGAACGCCGCCTCCGAGACATTGCAGGCACGATAGCGTCAGCGACGCGCGGTTCTTGCCGCCCGATCTGCGCTTCAGGCAGGAGGCCAGCTTGAACGGGATCAGGCCCATCAGCAGCGAGGACAGCAGCAGCACAAGAAAGGCGCCCACCTTAGCCGAGAGGAGACCCATTGTGGGGCACGGAGACGCACGCCCGTCAGGCGGCAGCGGAGAGACCGGCAGATGAAACCCGCTCAGAGCAGTCCGCACCTCGCGAGCCCTGGTCACGGGCAGACACACACCCAGTGGAGCAGCCGACCAGCGTCACTAAAGACAGCGCGCCCGATCCATTCCCAGCAGCGGCAAGAGTCCTGTCTACTCCGGCTCGGCACCAGCGCACGCGGTGGGTGAGAACTGCGCCCACTGCTGGCAGCAGAAGACCCGGGATCCGTTCCACACAGCGCGTGAGTCCGATCCGCTCCAGCCAACCGCCGAGCTGACAGACAGCTGAGCTGAGCCGAGCTAGCGCAGGGCGGAGCGGCCAAGCACCAGCGCCGCCCGCGGCAGCAGTCGACGTCCGCCGCTGCGCGTCGTCGACAGCTTCGGCCGGGGCGTGTCCGTCAGCCGAATGTCAGCGGCGCTCGTCAGCGGCGGCAGAAGGTCACGTGTCGGCGCGCCCGGCGCCCGCGCCGGCCGACGGGAAGGTCAGCCTGCGACGGGAGCCCGGAGCCGAGAGTAGGAGGGGCGCGAGCAGCGCCGGCCGACACTGAGAAGCCGGGAGCGCGGAGCCGAGAGGAGGGGCGCGAGCAGCGCCGGCCGACACTGAGAAGCCGGGAGCTCGGAACCGAGAGGAGGGGGGCCACGAGCAGCGCGGGCCGACACTTGGAAGCCGGGAGCTCGGAGCCGAGAGGAGGGACGCGAGCAGCGCGGGACGACACTTGGAAGCCGGGAGCTCGGAGCCGAGAGAAGCAGGGACACGAGCAGCGCGGGCCGAGACTGGGAGCCCGGAGGCCGACAGGACCCAGTGGCGACGTGCCGCACTTTCCGCGGCCATCTGCGCGGGACCGCGACTAGACGAGACAATAGCCTTAGGAGAGTGAGGAGCGCCCGGCGACAAAGGTCGCCGTCGGGAGCAGCTGCAGCTGTGCACGATGGCGGTTCTGCGTGTCAGCGTCGGCCGGGGTTCGGCGACCACCTGACGCGTGACATCTCACCGCGCCGGAAACGTTCAGGTCAACAACCGCCGGGGCGACTGCATACTGGCCCCCATGCGACGTTATGATAGTTACACACGATATTTTTAGAAAGATCGACATGCGTTTATGGTACATCGCTCCACGCCATTCGGAGCAAAATAAAAGAAAAAAAACATGCCAAAACTACCAGGTCGTAGATGGCAGCAAAGTTATTGCATGATCGACTCCTCCGACAGACGCGTGGAACGGGATTTCGAACAAAGAACACCAAACCTCGCGCTAAGTACTGATCACTGGCGCGCAATGAACTATCCTGAATTGTTCACTCCTTCCCGCCCAGCAGGGCAGGGATGAAGACTCGTCCTGCGGCCGTCCGGTCTCCTTTCGTGTCACCACAGCAAGAGTTCACCACGACTCATTTTCGTACGAGAACAGCGTCCAACTAGGGATCTGCAGTCCGAAAATGTCGGAATTCCACACGACAACCAGATAGTTTTGTTGCTTTTGTTTTACCAGAACTGCGGCCTAAATCACCTCTACCCTATCTGTATATCCAACGTTTAAATGTCACCATAATCTGTCGTCCAGCCACCGTAACTTGACCCACCAGTGCGTCCCTTTTTCACGACCTGACCTCCCATCGTACGCTCTGGCCGTTATGTACCCTCTCATCAGTACGCACGACCCTGCCACCCCTCTGTCCCCTGGCAGTGTCCTGTTCGCCCCCGGCGCCCCGGCTCTGACCTGACCGGCGCCGCCTCATCAGCTGGCGGCCGGCCGTCGGCGTCGCCTGCGTCGATCCATTCGAAGTGGCCGGACCAGGCGAACCCGCCGGCCACGCGCTCCGCCCTCTCGTACGCCAAGTCCTTGTCCCGGATGTTGTCGATGGCCGGGCACACGAGCGCGCGCGGCTCCTCCTTGATGCGCTGCAGCAGCGGCTCCACCCTGGCGGCGGGGACCGGCGTCGTCAGAGCAGTGGCGGCCCACTGTCGTCCAGCAGCGCGGGGCTCGCAAGGGGTGTTGGTCATCACGCCTTGGCCATCATCCCCTGATCTCATGACAGGAGTAGGCAATGCGGCACGTGCAAACACATGCTGCGACAGTAAACCCACTTGCTAGAGAGCAACTGCCGCACAGTAACGCTGCCCGTTCACAGCTCAGTTGAACAGGAAACGCAAAAGCGGATACAAACAATATCAACAAACACACCTTGCATACACCATAATTGGGTTTATAGCTACCAGTAAACCTAGCAATACAAATGCAGCACAGCCATCAGAAAACAAGTTCTCCGTTTACGGCAACACCACAAACGTCACCGTCTGCCGGCGCGCTTACTCAGGACCGCTCCCGAGACGGCCGCTGGCCAGCGTCGGCGGCGGCTCACCATTGCTGGCCGGGCTCCACATGCGAGTCCAGGAAGATGAGCACCTGGCCGCCGGCGCGCTCGGCGCCCCAGTGGCGGCCCTTGATCAGGCCCTGACGCTCGTGCAGGCGCAGAAGCCGCACCTTGGTTGGCAGCCGCTGTGCCACGTAGCGTTCCAGCTGGACGCCCAGCTCCGCTGTCGGCAGGCGCGGCGCGAGCGAGGGTTACGGGTGCGTGCCTGCAGGTGAGTCATCTACCCTAGCTCTGCCACCCGGCTCCAAATGGAGCCGGGTGGCAATGAAACAAAACAGACAGTGGACAACCTGGTGTCAGATCAACTGTGGCGATAACAAATCAATGATACAAAACTTACGAGTTCGCAAAGCAGATCACAGCCCTTTTCAGTCCAAAGAGGCACAACATGCATTGTCACACAATACTGCTACATGCTGCAATAGGCATAATAGCATTAGCAATAGCCATTGCTGTAAAGCACCACATGTCAATTTTGTGTTTTGAGTGGTTCAGTGAAAAAGTACCAAAATTATCAATCTGGTGTAATGCAAGCCCATGGGAGGCTAGGCCAATGACCTCTTTTCCCTTTCCAACAGCCAATGATCATTTCAAGGTGGCACAAAAAGAAAACAGCAAAAAAAATACATGTTCAATTTCGCGACGTTATTCACTGGGGGTTTCCGTCATTCTAGAAATATAGCTGGGATCCAGCATCAGCCTTCGCCCCATGATGAGAGATCCCGGCTTGCTGCCATATTATCGCACATATCCCTTACAGGATCCCAAAATGACGTCAGATGGAAAGGGTTCCTCCAGAAGGCATCGCAAATATTATAAATACAAATGGGGTGGCTGGGCAGTGCAGACTTCATGACAGGGCAGGCCTCGACTGAAACAAACATGGAATTGGAATAGGAAAACAGCATTGAGGATACCCACCCCATAGACCCAGATGCAAAACAACCACCTTCCTCACACTGCAACCTCAGAGTACGAAGCCAAAAGCTAGACTTCTTCCCAGCCACAAGTAAACACGCATAATCGTTGATCGCCCGCCGTCTCCGCCGCCACGGCGCCACCATTCACGGCACGCAGTCCAACCTTTAGTGCTGGCGTCGTCCACCAGGAGAACCTCGTGCAGCAGGTGCTCGGGCGTGCGGGCCAGCACCGAGTGGACGGTGCGCAGCAGAGCCGACCACGCCTCGTTGTGGAAGTTGATGACGACGCTGGCGTTGGGCAGGTCAGTGTCGAACGCTCGATTACGGCACCTGGTCCCGGCGGGCCGGCGGCAGGATCGCGGGGTCACCAGATGTCACGCCAGGGACACGGGCCATAGGACGCATGTCGCACGGGTATAGTTAACACGCTTAGCCGAAGAAATGTGAAGAAAACATGGTCTGTCAACACTTCTACATCATGCCAAGTCTTCTTATTGACATGTTTGGACAAATTGCTTGCATACTGCGTGGGAGCGTTCTGCGGCGAGAGATGTCCCGTGAAACACGGAGAACTCAGGCAAACCCGCGAGGGACCCACACACAGACCCCTGGCGAGCGGACACCACCTGGCGGTCGGCTGAGCACTCACAGAGCGGGCCGAACGTCGGGCAGGCGCCGCACGTACGGCACCTTGTCGCTGGCCACCACGTTGAAGCCCTCTTGCTGGAAGAGCCGGTCGGCGCGGCGCTGCTCGTCGGCCGAGAGCAGCACGGGCCGGCCGGCGTCGCCGGCGCCCGGCTCGATCAGCGCCAGCTGCGGGAAGTCAGGCTCGGCCGGCCGCCGCAGCAGCGCGTACAGCACGGCTGCGGCGGCGGCGGCGGCCGCAGCCAGCAGGAAAGGCCGTCGCCAAGGCCAGCTGGACCGGACCTCTGCAGCAGTTAGTTGATCGTGGCACACAAGAGCATTTTGAAATACGCGCGAAGGCATGGCTTGGGTGGATTTACGATGAATTTGAAAGTTCGGATCAGTGAGTTTTTCAATAGATTTGTCGAATACCTCCCACATCGGCGAGAATGTGAAGACAAGTATAATCCACATCTGCCTGGCACCAAGAAAAGGAGGTGGCTGTTACATGCGTCATTATAGGTGACCCATGTGTCATTCATAGATAAAAGTTCATCGTGAGTAACAACTGTGTGACCATGGAAAACTGTGAGTTGGCCATGACGTACGAAAAGAACTTCTCAGAAGTCGTTAATCGAGTATAGTGATATGATCGTAGCAATATGATAGAAGCAACAGAAGGGTTGTACAAATGGAAGAGCAATGGTTAACTCTCATTTTATGGACTTAGCATGACTTACAATCATTGCATATCATGGAACCACCATAAGCATTTAAATGTCCCGCCAAACAGGTGGAGGAATCCCAGGACACATATTACCTCGGATGCATAGTCTGTGACATAGCAAGCTATTCAGGAATTTAGACAACAAAAAACACAACTGCCAACTTACTACACTTAGAACAAAACGAGCTTGCAGGCTTGCTTGGCTAAGCGACGGAGCGTCTATGGACGATTTGCGTTTGCATTATTGCGGGATGCGTTCAACACCGCTCATGGGATTCCCTGGCCGACCCGAACTCTGACTGCTGGGACGCCTGACGGGCACCTGGTGTGATGTGTTGGCTGTCAGGGACGTTCAAACCCTGGTCTCCAGATTTCCACTGCGGTTGGAGCGTTGACGTGCACTCCAAAGTGCGAGAAAATCCACTTGCTACCACTGCAAATGCCAGATCTCCCTAATTTCGCCCCTGCCACTTGTCGATGCAGCTGCAGTGTTTCTGTGTTGTCAGACACTTTACTAACCCCAAAACACACCCCCAGAGGCCAGTGGGAGTGCCGTTTGGCCGTAGCCGTGAGTTTACGTGAAAATATATGCATTTCGTGGGCCCTTTTATCGTACCCGTTGTCAATTATTATTTACTCGATACGTGTGGCTTCTCTAGCATTTCTCAAAGCAAGGCATTCTGGCAATGCATTTGATCGTCACTATGGCTCACCTCTCTCGCCACAAAAAGTGAATTAATGCAGGAAAGAATGGCGGTTGGCGAGCGCCTGCAGCATCCGGCGCATGGGTTCTTCGTCGTTTTGGCCGCCGCCGGCGCCGGAGACGGGGCAATCGATCGGCGGCATGGCACAATCAGTACAGACAATGAATTGATGCACGCGGTGATTTAACAGCGTGCCGTATTCGGCACCGTTTTTTAAAAATGTCGACACCCCCTGTTCGCCCAACGAATACTGGCATAGCCGTGCGTCCAACAAACTCGTATTAGGCACGTGAATTGCAGCTGGTCCGTTGGCCGACGTTTTGAACTGTATTTGCGTTTCTGACCGCTCTGGCTGCCAAGCTGAGGTATACAACGTGAAAACCATCAAAACAAGCCAACTTCATCTTGGCCGCTTCTGTGCACCTGACAAGTGACAGCACGTCTCACACCGCTCGATGCTCCGTCCAATGATCTACCTACACAGTTTCGAACGGCTGCTCGTCGGCTTTGTCGTCCGTCACATTCCCGGGCGGCCGGTGCAAGACCAGCGGGCCTGCACCGGTCTTGTCGCCACATCTATGCCCGATCCCGGTTCGCAGCGGCTGGCGATCTACCCGTGGAAAACGGTCTTGTGCGCCCGTGCGTCATGTTCAAATTTCACTGTTTAATGACCCGCCATTTGGACCCTGGGCAATGCAAAACAAAATGGGACAGGCGCAGACACATCCTAGGCAATGGCAGTTGTTTAGGGTGTGCCTGTCTTGAGGGTGTTTCTGCACCCTGTAATCGTTTTTATCATGCATTCAGTAAGCTGATGGCAATAATGTGTTCTGTCTTCTTAAATTCCAAGAGCTTGTTATGCAGCAGACAGATGATGCATCCATGGCAGCCTGTATTCTGGGATTCCTCCATCTGTTTGCTGAGACCTGAACCTGCAGAACAACCCATAAACAATGGGGTGAATGCTTACTTTTAGACTTGGTCCCACATCTTGATTTTCCTGGCATCTGTGGGCATGACAAACATGGTGACTTGCAACATAATTTTGCCTCTTAACTCTGTCCAAAAGTTGTCGACACAGTATTACTTTTCTGAGCTTTGTGATGCTCAAATAAAGTTTCAAGTGCCAGAATGCAAGCACAACTGAGACCAGTCCATCAAAAGCTTGGAAACAGCTTCCAGATGGAACCTGCCAGTTCCCCTTGCACCATCTCTTGGAATGCTTGGATGTTGCATGGATAAAAATGAGGTAAATGGTTAAGCTGTTCCATTTCTTTTTCCTTGCCTTCACATCATTTTGACAAAAACTTTCTTAGTTTTATTGCTCATGGTAATGGTTTTCACTGCATCTTTCCTAGCCATCTTAATTGTTGGCAAGGTTCTGCAAAGATTACTGCTTATGCTCCATGCATGTGAACTCAGATCAACAGTGAAACAAAAGGAGAGGAGACAAGAGTTAAGCTTTTAAGGAGAAGAGTTTATATATATTTAAGACAATCCAAAGAACTTGAAAAGCATGAGCATGAAAGTATAAAAAAGATGAGGAAAACCAATGCAATTATCAAGGCCATTAGGTTTGACTAAGAGTAAAATTAAAAGGTTGCATTTCTCAAACAACTGTGGTTGATATAGGTTTACACACACATCAACTGCTCAGCTATTTTGCACCCAATCTCGAAAAACAAGCTGGAGAGGCTATGTTTCATACTAGACATAATACCAACACAGGGAAAGAATGAACAACCACACAATTTCTTTTTGCCTTGAGTCTTAGACATCAATGATATACTGGCCCAGGGGAAGCAATCCAAGTGAATATTGTTGAGGCCAAGAGGTGACTTAAGAATTCCCTTTCCCTCCATAAATGCCCCCACTATAAGTTACCAAACCAACACCGGGAGACCAAGACCCTTCTGAGACCATAAAAAACTGACACTTCTATGCTGGCCAGTTGTTCTACCGACGTAATGTCGTCAATAATGAGAGTTTAGTTCAGTTACTGGGTTACAATTATTACATAGCTTTGGTTATGTCACAACAATGACAAATCATTTGCTGTCACACCAATGTGTACAATGTTCAAACCAGGAATATGTTCTTCATAACAACAAAAAGCCCTTAATGATTGCAACCAATATTTTACGCAACCCACATTGCGACCAACCTTCCCCAACTTTATTCATCGGGCTTTCGCCGCCAACGCAACTCACACCGCGCCGGGTGCCGCGCTGCCGTTACTTTTGCCGTAGCCTTGCTTCTGCCCACATTACCGTAATCTGTGTAGCGGCACTGTGACGTCAACATGGGACTAAATCAGATGGCACCAGCGTTCCGGCGACGTGACAACGTTACCCTTTGCTGTCTGGTTTAAACATAAATATCACCATAAACCAGATTTCTTCGGCCTACCACATTCAATAAAGCATTTTAACAGGTAACTGGCGTTGGTTTGCACCAGAGCTACAAGATTATTGCTGGAATGGGCTTGCATCCTGCAGCATCCCCGGCAGAAAGATGGTGTACCCCACTCACCAATGATTTATCCCCACGTACTCTAGCCTGCAGCACGGACGGATCCAGAGGGGTGGCCACGGGGCCACGGCCCCCCCCCCCCCCTTGAACCTCGAAGGGCCTCATAGTCGACCAAACAGATGCAGCTTCGTAAACACAAAACGCAACAAAATTGGACATCTTTGGATTTTCAGGCCACCAAGAACAGTTGCCAGTGAAAGTGAAGAGCCAACGAGAAGGGATAAAAATATTGAATGATTAAAAATGTCGGTAATTGAAAATTGTAAGCCTTGTTTTGCCGTCCAGGGGCCCTGTGCTGTTTTTAGGAGACCTATATGCCCACTTGCAGGGCCATTCCGATCGTTAAGGAGCCTTCCACGTTGCCCTTCACTTATTTGCGTTCGCTCAGAGGGCCCTGCACTGTTGCTGTGCCTTCCTGCTAGCGTGTCGGGGCGCTCTTTTCACACAGGGGCCTTCCACGGATTCTTTTTATTCGCCAGAAAGGCTCTGTGGGCTATAGACGGGGCCTCATATGCTAACCTGCCGGGGTATTCTCGGTTGCTCGGGGACCTTTACGTTGGTCTTGCTTCACCTATCAGCACGCTCGCGATATGCTCATAGGCCCTCTGCATTGGTATAGGGAGTTTCCAATTCTATGTCACTTGCTTACGGCCCTAAGCTTTTGTCGGGGGCCCATTTGTTAGCCTGCTTATGCACACTCGGTCGGTCGGGGCCGTCCAAATTGGGTCTTAGGTACATTCTATTTGAATGGAGGACCCTGCACATTTGTCGGACCCCCATCTGTTAACCTGCTCCGGCACACTGGATTGTTTGGGGGCCCTGCACATTGGGTATTTTAATGTAGACCCTACGCTCTTGTCGGGGCCATCTAATAGCTTGCTCGGATACACTCGATCTTTTGGGGCTCTCCACACGGGGTCGTGGGTACATTTTATTTACATCTGCTTCGCTCTTGTCGGGGGCCTATCTGATAAACTGCTCGGGCACATTCCTTCGTTTGGGGGTCCTCTACAGTGGGTCCTGGGTACATCCTATTTGAATGGGGCCCTACGCACTTGTCGGGGGCCTTCTCTGTTCACCTCTTCGCCAAACTGGATTGTTCGGGGGCGCTGCACATTGGATCTTGGTGTTTGAATTAAGGGCCCTGCGCTCCTATCGGGCCATCTGATAACATGCTCAGATACATTCCATCTTTCAAGGGCCCTCCGTACTGGGTTTTGGGCACTTATTATTTCAATGGAGGGTCCTACGTTCTTGATGCGGCCCCTTCTGATAAGCTGCTCGGGCACCTTCGATTGTTGGGGTACATGTACGTTGGGTCTTGGCTACTTTCTGTTTGATTAGAGGGCAATGCGCTCTTGACGGGGGCCCTATCTGCTAACATGCGCGGGCGCACTCGATCATTCGTGGGCCCTCTGTATCGTGTCGTGAGTATTTCATATTTGAACGTTAGGCCCTGTGCTCTTGTCGGCGGCCCCATCTGTTAACCTGCTCGGGCACCCCCAGTTGCTCCGGGCTTCTCCATATTGTGTTTTGGGGACTTCTGGATAGCCCTACACTCCTGTCGGGGGCCCATATGGTCACCTCCTTTGAATTTAGGGCCCTACACTCCTGTGGGGGCCGTCTGAAAATATGTTCGGGCACATCCCATCTTTCGGGAGCGCTCTGCACGGGGTTTGGGCACTTCTTATTTGAATGGAGAGCCTTACGCTCTTGTCGAGTCTATTCTGATAAGCTGCTGGGGTGCGTTCCATCGTTCGGGGGTCATTTCCATTAGGTCTTCAGTGCTTCCTGTTTGAATGGAAGTCCCTACGCTCTTGACGGGACCCTTTATACTAACCTGCTCGGGAACTGGCCTCCCGCTCTTGTCGTGGTCCCGATCTGTTGCCTACTCGGGCACACTCGATCGTTCCGGGGCTCTCCATGCTGTGCTTTGGCTACTTCTTATTTGAATGGATGAACGTCTGTTCGTAACGGGCCCCATCTACTAAACTGCCTAGGGCGGTGGCGGATACAGACGGGGAGAGGGAAGGCACGGGACCGTACCCCCTATAAACCATGCCGAGGGGATTTATAGACTCCAAAGGGGCTCACAACCGCTCGAACGGGCGCAGTTTTTTTAAACAAAACATTACACACCACACAACTGGACATCTTTGGGTCTGCAGACGACCAAGAACGGTTGCTGGCAAAAGTAAAGAGTTCATAAGCAGACAAAGTTAATCATTTGCTGATTGAGGAGATGTTGCTGCTGGGTGGGGGGGGGGGGAGGAATTTGGGGGTTCATTACGCTGTCCAGAGACATAACGCTGTTACCAGGACCCTATCTGTCCACTTGCCGGGTCGATCTGATGGCTAATGAGCTTTCCACGCTGCCCTTGATCTATTTGCATTTTCCCGTGGGGTCCAATACTGCTGTTGGGACTATATCTGCTTCCATGCCTGAGCACTCTTGATTGATTAAGTTTTCCTCCACGAATTTGTTCCCGTTCTCCCGAAAGGCTCTGTATGCTTTTTGCGGGGCCTCATATGCCAGGGTATACTCAGTTGCTCAGCAACCCATCAGATTAGCATCGGGTTCATTCCACCTGTTCGAGGGGCCTTGTGCTGTTGCTAGAATTTACATGTGGTAAGGCACCGAGACACTCGATGCCCAAGTGCCCTCCACTTTGATTTGGGGTTCTTTCCCTTTGACCCCATTTTCGGAGGACTCTTCACTCCTCTCAAGGATCTTGCGGTTAACCTGCCCGGATGCTTTTGATCGCGCAGGATGTCAATGCATGGTCTTGAGTAGGTCCCCTCTGCTCAGTGTCCTGTGCTCTGGACGGGGCCTTATTTGTCAGCCTGCCGAGGCATTAGCGGTCGTTTAGAGGCACACCACGTTGGCCCTGGGTTCTTTCTGCTTGCTCTGAGGACCCTCTTCTTGTTGACAGGAACTTGTTTGTTCGCCTCCTGCGGCACCCATGATCGCTCAGGTTTCGTCCCTATGGGCATTGGTGCCTTAGCCTTACAGCAACAGTCGGTAAATATTGAAACTGTTTATCTACAAATTAAATGGCCGGAATGCAAGGATATTTTTAGAGGGGGCCCCACACCCTACGGGGTCCCATAGTGTTTCGTATCCCCCCCCCCCCCCCGTTGACAAAATCCTGCATCCGCCCCAGGTCGGTAGTGCTTAAAAACAGTCTGCGTAAAAGAGAACAACACACAACAAAAACATACAGTGGGTTGAAAAACGGCAGGTTAGATGGGCTCGCAGCACCCTGGGACAAGTAATGAGAAGTTGGTATGCACATCCTGTAGCCTTAGGAGAGGCGTTGTCGAGGTGGTATGCACATCCTGTAGCCTTAGGAGAGGCGTTGTCGAGGTGGTATGCACATCCTGTAGCCTTAGGAGAGGCGTTGTCGAGGTGGAATGCGCATCCTTTAGCCTTGGGAGAGGCGTTGTCGAGGTGGAATGCACATCCTTTAGCCTTGGGAGAGGCGTTGTCGAGGTGGTATTCACATCCTGTAGCCTTAGGAGAGGCGTTGTCGAGGTGGTATGCACATCCTGTAGCCTTAGGAGAGGCGTTGTCGAGGTGGTATGCACATCCTGTAGCCTTAGGAGAGGCGTTGTCGAGGTGGTATGCACATCCTGTAGCCTTAGGAAAGGCGTTGTCGAGGTGGTATGCACATCCTGTAGCCTTAGGAGAGGCGTTGTCGAGGTGGTATGCACATCCTGTAGCCTTAGGAGAGGCGTTGTCGAGGTGGAATGCACATCCTGTAGCCTTGGGAGAGGCGTTGTCGAGGTGGTAGGCACATCCTGTAGCCTTAGGAGAGGCGTTGTCGAGGTGGTATGCACATCCTGTAGCCTTAGGAGAGGCGTTGTCGAGGTGGTAGGCACATCCTGTAGCCTTAGGAGAGGCGTTGTCGAGGTGAAATGTACATCCTGTAGTGTTGGGAGAGGCGTTGTCGAGGTGGAATGTACATCCTTTAGCCTTGGGAGAGGCGTTGTCGAGGTGGAATGCACATCCTGCAGCCTTGGGAGAGGCGCCGTCGAGGTGGAATGTACATCCTGTAGCGTTGAGAGAGGCGTTGTCGAGGTGGAATGTACATCCTGTAGTGTTGGGAGAGGCGTTGTCGAGGTGGAATGTACATCCTGTAGTGTTGGGAGAGGCGTTGTCGAGGTGGAATGTACCTTTGAGAGGCGTTGTCGAGGTGGAATGTACATCCTGTAGTGTTGGGAGAGGCGTTGTCGAGGTGGAATGCACATCCTTTAGCCTTGGTAGAGACGTTGTCGAGGTGGAATGCACATCCTGTAGCCTTGGGAGAGGCGCTGTCGAGGTGGATGCAGGGCTGGCCTGCCGAAATGGGGGTAGTGAGCGATGAATCCCGGGAGGCGTAAGTGCTGCGAGCGCCATTTCAGTTCAAGGTGGCAGATTTTCCTGTAAGACGGCAAAATTTTTGCAAGTTTTGCAATTTCAGCCAACCAAAGAGCCGTGGCCGATATCTCAGCTCGGGCATATCCTTGGGGATATATTAGGTAGTCGGGGCATATTCCTTACGCAGCTTGTTCACCCAACCCATCCGACATTATGGATCTGCGACTTAACCAACACTTAAGAGGATCATAGCACAGCAATAGTGAAATTCGTGGCACTGCCCTGCTCACTCAACAAACTTTTGTTTACATTTCACTGCGTAC